CTTACAGAAGACAGTGTGTCAGACAGAGCACCACGGGGCTTTGTCCTCTTAGTACCTATATTGAACTACAGGTAATGCAAATGGAAAAGACACCTATGCAATGGCTGTGTAAATGCCTGGCATATCTTTGAAAACTTCCTATAATGCAGCAAACCTTCTTCCAAAGTTCCCACATTTACTCTTCAGTCAGAAGATCGAGCCAAAAATGTTGTAATCATTATAGAGTTCAGTCAGGAGGTATTTGTGATTTTTGGTAGCCCCCAAGAATTATAAAAAAAAACACATTTAATAATTACACATTATATGACAGGTTTCAGAGTAGCAGCCGTGTTAGTCTGTATCCGCAAAAAGGACAGGAGTACTTGTGGCTTATATGACAGTACTTTTATCATTGGATTTTGGTCATATGACTTTGACCTCATCAGAAACCCCCTCTATAAAAATATAATCTCACACTGTTCAGTTGGGCATTGGTTATTGTTCAGACATGTTCACATGGAGCGGCCCAGAGTATTTTAGGCTTAACAGGGCTCTTGTGGTTGCACTAACTGCCTGTGGCAAAGGAATTAGTCATATCCTGTCTAGCACTTCTGAAGCCTCTTCCTGTACCCCTTTCTTCAGAAAAGTCTTACTGAAGTCAAGGGGAATTTTGCTTGATTCACACCTGCACGGTCAGCTGTAGGCTATTTAGTAACTTCATTGATAGTCACATCGAGGTAATGGAACTCCTCTATGTGTGCTTCCCAGTTCTGCTGTCTAGCTAATGCTGATCTTGTGATTAAAGCACCAGATCGGGACCCAGGAAATCTGGATTCTGTTCCCAGCCTTACCATGGACTTCCCATGGGATGTAGGCAAATTTAAAAGTGTTCCTGCACAGTGACCATAAATGAGCACACAAAACAAGGATGGTTGCACGCAAATGGTTAGTTAGGTCTAAAAACAAGGACCTCCATCTCCCCACCTGTAAAATGGGGACAATGACACTTGCCAATGTGATAGTGTTGCTGTGAAGCTAATATGAATTCATTGGTGTTTGTAAAGCACTTTAATGTCCTTGGATCGAAGACACTATATAAGGACAAAGAATTCTTCTTCTTCCTTCATCATGAATTAGGAGTCATTCAAACAAGGAAATAGAAAGAATGCTTGTTAAAGTAATAAACCTCTTCAGAGACTAGAACCCCATGCTCTGGGTGTCCCTAAACCTCTGACTGCCAGAAGCTGGGACTGGCCGACAGGGATGGATCACTCAATAATTGCCCTGTTCAGTTCATCTGGCACCAGCTATCATTGGAAGACAGGATACTGGACTAGATGGACCATTGGCCATGCTGGGTCAGACCATTCTTATGTTCTAATAGTTTGGATTTGCATCAGATTAAAAGAACCTCAGTGATATTTCAGGGGAACTCTTTTGGGGAAAAGGAAAGGCTGCCTAAGGAATCACTGTTAAAAGACTGACTCTGGAGGAAGTATTACCAAAAATGGCGGTCCCAGACAGAGAAGGGAACACTGCTTTGCCGCTGTCAAACCTCAGCATTTGAGACACTTGCCTTGACCGAGGGAGCATCCACATTCTTGACAGACTTGAACAGAATATTAAATCCTTCTGTATTAAAACATTTTGTCGCCCAATATTTTTGACGTTATCAAAGGGAGGAGACTGGGATTCAATAGAAGCAACTGACAATTTAACAGCTGACTTCGCTATTTCAGGTGGTGACAGTTCGGAAGGGCTCAGCTCGTCCCAAATCATCTGATTTAGCCTCCGTTTTTCCCCTTCCATTCAGAATGGCAGGAAATATTTGCAGAGCCTAGAGCAGCTGTCCTTTCCAAAGCAGGGAGACATGCCATAGTTTGATAGTATACTACTGGATGTGGGCTTGGTCCTAGTCTGTTTTTAATGGGACTAACACACACACACAAAAATCAAGCCACCATTTGTGCTTTTTAAAAGAGGGATCAGTGACATTAAAACAAAGGATGATTAATTACCCTGGAGCTTTCTCCATTTACAACTGAATGACCTTGGCTGTGATGAAATTCATGGGTCAAAAACTGTACTGATTTCACTATACTTGCCTAGTTAAAAACGGAGCAATTCCCCCAGTGCGGAAACAGTTATTCTTGTACAAATATGCTTAGCCGAATATAACTTATTTCCATAAGAGGAATAGCTATACTGACAAAAGGCACCTTCATATTGCTATGACTGTGTCCACAGGAGTTATATAGTTATAATTATACTGGGAGGGAGGGAATAATCACATCTGTGACCTAAGCTGTTATATTGTACCACAACTGTATATAGACCAGGTCTTGACTCATCGGGTTAGTGCATGGCGTAGTGGGCATTTCCCCATGATTTCCTCTGTTGTGTGTAGATGTCTATAATGCAAACTAACAAACTGCCTTTTTAAATGACAGAGGGACCCTTGCCTATAGAGAGTGTATTGATTACAGAATTCTCCTGAAAATTAAAAGAGAATTGGGTGATCAAAATGCTGAGGTAACATTGAAAAACTCAGCCCACATGCTGACCTCTCTGGTTTAGCTAGAGAACCTTCTGAAGGAGCAGAGAATTCTTGGGATCATGACACAATAAGGGACAACAGACTGAAACGTGAGGAATCCAAATGACCAACATAGACCGAGGAGAAAAATCTCTTTGTGAAAGTCCACCACCACAACACAATAGTTCATACTCAGCTTCGACATCTTCTGCCAGTCCTAGTGCTCTTCAACTGTCCCAGTCTGCTCTTCACCAAACAGCCACTCCCAGTTCTTCCTAGCTGGAGCTCAGCCTTCTTCCACACACTCACTCTCACTTTCTGGCCCAGAGAGATCCACAGAGAGCACCTCTTCCCCCTGGTGCTGTGTCTCCCTTTATAAGGCCTGGGTGCCTTCCCCTAAGCCCAATTTGGCAACAGGTAATCAGTCACAGGTGTATTGGACCTCTCCTCCTCCCGCACCTGCTCCTTCTTAAAGGGGCCAGTCACCCGGTGCCACTCCCATTGACCCCAATTGTGTAGGCTCAGACCCTGAGTAGATGCTGAGTGCTCCCAATTTCCACTGAGATTCACAGGCCAAACGATGGCCAAAGGACAGCTCTCGGGGCAGTTCCCCCCCAAAAGGCAAAGGACATCTCTGTTAGTTACCTCAACCTCCCAAGAGAACACACAACATTCAGACTATTAATGGAAAGCAGCAGCTCTGGCTTCCTGCACCTTGTAATGGACCAGTCCAGTGTCTCCTTTTACCATCCCCAGGATCTATAAAAGGGAAAGTGCGGGGAGAGGGAGGTCAGATTCAGGGAGTAATCCTGCAAACAGCTGCTTTACACTTTGGAATCATGCTTGTGTGGGAATTAGCACGTTTGCCCACATGCATTCTCCAGAGCCATATCAGCTTTCAGTCAGAAGCCAATTTAGGAGCTAACAGGCATTTTCAGCTATTTATAAGCCTTTTCTCTTAAGGGCCCATCCACACTACAGATATAATAGAATCAGGGGACCTGGTTACAACATGGTCACAATGTGTCGTGTAAATGGAACCTAGCTATGTTCTTTAACTGGGTAAAGCCTTAGACACCTTAAAACCTGGGATATATTATCGATAGGAAATCCAACACGTATCTATGCTATTTATATTGAGAAAACCTGTCCAGTGTTCTAGAACAAACTATCCCTGGAGACTCCCATTTTAACTCTTCAAAAGTCCAACTGTAGTCAATGGCAAATTTTCCCCTGGATTTCAAATGGAGCAGGATCAGGCCCTCAATTTGCAACAGGTCTGATTTTCCTAGCTGCTAAACAAGGAACATGATTAGAATATCTGCGTTATGATCATACAGGGGTCTGAGTGCAACAGGTCAGGCCCTTATCAGGTCCTCTTCATATACACCATAAAGTTTGTCATCACAACATACAGCACTAACAACATGCAGTTCATGTGACTTTATTTAAATAGAACAGAAGCAGAACAATGGGATTCCCAGTGAAAGAAATGGGAAGAAAGGAAAAAGAAAGAAAAAAATTGTTTAGTGACATGAATTACTAGTTTTGGCAATAAAATTCTGTATCTCATCTGCTCTTACAATTTAGTGGAGACATTTTCCAACTAACAAATTTAAAATAGGTATTGTATAGATATTAATGTTAACTATACTCAGGGATCAAATCATAGTCCACCAGTATAAGTTATTTCACAGGGCTAGACTTTATCACCCTGATTCCCATTGAATAGCGCCTTACTCTCCAAATGGTCCCCACTTAAATCAATGGGACTCTTGCACAATAAGATACTATTTAATGTGAGTATGGGTGGTAGAATTGGACCCTAAATTTTCAATGTATTACACAACAGTTTGCAGCACAAATATAGATTCTATAGAAAAACAAACTAAATTATGTTGTTAAATAAATATACCATGGTAGCCAAGGGCAAATCTGAAAGCATGAGGGAATTACTCCTGACCCCAATCCCTAGCCCCCAGTGCATTTTATTGCATCAAGAATTACATTTTGTTCAAGAATCTGTGACATACAGACAGAATTATTTCACTTGCTAAAATTCCTAAAGTAAAACTGCCAAAATGAATGCAAGTCCTGGAACACAGAAAGCCAGAGTCCTGATTCAGGCCAGCACTTAAGCACATTCTTACGTCCATTCCTATTCAGAAATGCACTTAAGTACAGGCCTAAAGCTAAGCACATGCTTAAATGCTTTCCTGAATAGGAATGCCTTCATGATTCTGGGCCCAAATGCAGGCCTAATGTGAGCAGGTGAAAACCCAGAGAAATCCGTGACAGCCCCAGGTCCGTATCTGGCCTCCCAAAATGCTAAAGGATGATCAGATTTCTTAAAACAATCTGCACTTATCGCCGAGGTGATTCGGGTTTCTCCTTGAACACACTGACTAAAAAGATATTATAGGACTGAAATGTTTATTTAATATTTTAAAAGCCTCCTGTGTATTGTTATCATTTGGTTTAAAAATTACAAATCTCTTAACACTTTCCCCTCCTCCTCCTCATCGCTGTCAGTCACATTGACTTGCTGGATGCTGGAGGGTGTGGACGGGGTTGTGGTGAAAACGTTCTCCAAGGCTCCAATATCCAGCTGTGGCATGGGAGTTAAATATTCCTCCTCGCCATGGCTGTGGCTGTTGTAATAAGACACTCCCTCTAGGCTCTCACAGCTGCGGGAATCTTCACTCTGTGTGCGCTCATCTGGGTACTCCCTGAAAGGATAGTCTCTATTCAGAGCAGAAAACATAGCCTCGTGCTTTTGGTACTGGTCTTCGTAAAAGCCAAGACATTCGGGCATTGAGCTGGGGAAATTCCCATAGCCAAATGGAGGACGGCTGTACGGGCACGTGCTGCAGTGAAAGAGACCAAGAGACGATAAATCAAGCTTTCTGCCATGGTGCTAAGTTGTATTGCAAAAGGACTACATAAGACTGGCTTCACTTCTATTGGGGACTGAAGATGAAAGTTACCCTAGTGATCTGCATTAGCCAATTCATACAGTAGTGAGACATTTAAACACACCAACCTCTATAAACACTGCAGCCACCCTATATACACGGAGAGTCATACCCAGGGTCTGTGACAGAGACACCAGCCTACATATGCAGCTCTGTTGCTGCTGGATACACCCAAGAAGCTGTTTTTTAAAAAACAATTTTATTTATTAGTGTAAATACAGCAGAACCTCAGAGTTACAAACACCTTGGGAATGGAGGTTGTTCGTAACTCTGAAATGTTTGTAACTCTGAACAAAACATTATGGTTGTTCTTTCAAAAGTTTACAACTGAATATTGACTATGGGCTGGTCCACACTGTGGCGGGGGATCGATATAGGAAACGCAACTTCAGCTACGAGAATAGCGTAGCTGAAGTCGACGTTTCCTATATCGAAGTAAAAGTACTTACTTCAGGTCCACGCGGCGCAGGCAGGCTCCCCCGTCGACAGCGCTTCCTCCTCTCGGCGAGCAGGAGTTCTGCAGTCGACGGGGGAGCGCTTCTGGGATCGATCTATCGCGTCCAGATGAGATGCGATAAATCGATCCCAGAAGATCGATCTCTACCCGCCGAATTAGGCGGGTAGAGTGGACCAGCCCTTAGTACAGCTTTGAAACTTTACAATGCAGAAGAAAAATGTTGCTTTTACCCATCTTAATGTAAATGAACAAGCACAGAAACAGTTACCTTGTCAAATTGTTTTAAACTTTCCCATTTTTTAGTAGTTTATGTTTAACACAATACTGTATCGTATTTGCTTTCTGTGTGTGTCTGCTGCTGCCGGATTGCGTACTTCCAGTTCCAAATGAGATGTGTGGTTGACTGGTCAGTTTGTAACTCTGGTGTTCGTAACTCTGAGGTTCTACTGTAATGTCACAGATAAAATAGTGTCCTACACTCTATCAAGCATTTTATCAAACATACCCAAATAGTAAAACCAAGCATCATAACCTAAAGGGCGATACGGTAGAGGTCTATAAAATCATGAATGGTGTGGGGAAAAAGTGTTATTTACCCTGTCACATAACACAAGAACCAGAGATCAACCAATGAAATTAATAGGCAGCAGGTTTAAAACAAACAAAAGGAAGTATTTCTTCACCCAATGCACAGTCAACCTGTGGAACTCGTTGCCAGGGGATGTTGTGAAGGCCAAATGTATAACTGGGTTCAAAAAAGAATGAGTTAAGTTCATGGAGGATAGATCCATCAATGGCTATTAGCCAAGATGGTCAGGGATGCAACTCCATGCTCTGGGCGTCCCTAGTCTCTGACTGCCAGATTCTGGGACTGGATGACAGGGGATGGATCATTTGATAACTGCCCTATTCTGTTCATTCCCTCTGAAGCATCTGGCATTGGCCACTGTCAGAAGACACGCTACTGGGCTAAATGGACCATTGGTCTGACCCAATATGGTCGTTCTTATGTTCTAACCCAGTTTATGTGATCTCCGCAGGCCACCGCTTATAGTGGAGTTGGAGACGGCTAAAAAAATTCCTTTTATTTCCTTTTTAAATCATTTCTTGCAGCTGCTAGACTGTTAGTAAACAAGAAGGATGTCAGGGAATCCTGTCCCTCAGAGAATACTAGGTAAAGAGGATACATCAGTGGTTCACAACCCGTGGGCTGCTTGCAGCCCAGTCAGCACACAGCTGTTGCCCATGTAACATCCTCAGGGCCATTCAGGTAGTATATATATGTGTGGCTATGGTGCACATAACAGAGAGCACTGCATATGCGGCCTAGAATGGTACATAGGTTGAGAACCCCACTAGGATTCATGGCTAGACATCATGCAATTGACAGTTGAAAGTGAGAAACTCCAGAAAAAGAATCACACAAGGTGATAAAAAATTGCTCCCCAAAACAACTAATAACTGATTTTTTATCCTGATTCAGGACCCAGAGGGCCAAAGTGTATTACAATTTATTCAGTGTCGTAGATATATCTATATTACTGTAGAGTAACTAAAGTGTGTGAAACAAGTAATAGAGCCCTTCTCTAATGATATTATAGTTTAACGATATGTATTGGTACAATGCAGATCCAGGCTTCAATGGTACTATTCACATCTCTTAAGAGAGCACATGGATAGGATCCCAAAAGCAGCGGGTACAAACACGGTCAAGAGGTCTTTCCTTAAATTTCTTCAATCCAGCTGCTAATTTTTAGCACACAATTTTTCACACACATTCATTTGCACAATCAGTGCTACACAAAAAAGATGAATTGTTTTAGAACACCAAACAGACTGTTATGGTATGAGCAAAAAAACCCACCCCACAAGCTGCTCGTGAGCTCTGCCTAATGACGGAGACCAAAGGCCAAAGCTCAGCTCATCTTCAGTGCCCAATGTGAAGGCAGGCACCAATGCATCAATGCTATAGTGTGTTGTTCAAGTGATGATAACTTTGGTCTATTATTTAAGGTTCTTGAACTTAACACATGCCCACAGACTGACTTGTGTTGCAGATACGATCTGTCCATTAAGGTCTTTCAATTTTCATGGGTCATCTTCTGCCCTGATTTACCCTCAAGGCAACCCCATTGACTTCATGCAGGCACATTCTGCTGAGATCAATAGGAGAGTGCAGTGTGTAAGTCAAGGCAGAATGTGGCCCCAAATCTTTAAGCATCGCCTCCAGCTGGAGAGTGATCGTTGTAATCATTTGTGATCAAATATAGGAAAATTGGCTACTTATAAAAAATAAGCTATGAAAATGAACACTGAGCTCGCTCATTTCTCCATTCAAAGGGACCCAGAGTTTGTGCAGTGTGAATTCTCTTCATTGATCTCTATGCACTAGCTGGCTTGCAGGTATTCTTGGGCCTGAACAGCACATTTGGCTGTTGCTCAACTGGCTGCTACAAGGCACTGGAGCCTGCAGGCGGTCACTGTTGAACCAACAGCAGTCCCTCTGCACGTGGTCAGTTTAGTCAACACTGAAATACTGTAACGGGGGTGTACAAACCCAAGAGTTCTTGGTTCAAGTTGCTCTTCTCCAGTTGACTAACCCAAAGGTGCAAAGACTATACTATGGTTTATTTGCTATATCATCCCCAGGGCTCTTCCCATCTGGTAAGACCTCAGTACTATCCCTTTTCATAGAGACAACCCCACCAAGGTGTTTGGGGTACTATGTAACCAGCTCAAATGCTTGCCCAGTTATTTGTTTTTATTTCCATAACTTTTACTCAATATATTTTTGTTGAATTCAATTGCACTGCTGGGACTTGGGAGGCGGGGAGGGGCAGCAAGCACTTCTATTTTCTGTTAGCTTGGAACACACAATGGCTTGGAGCTATTGGTAGTTGGGTACAACTGAGAGCAGCCTCGGGCTGCCAGGTCCCACAACTGGGGAGCTGTTAAGGTGGCATTAAGCCCACTTTCCCGCACAGCCTTGCATTCTTGCGCTGAGAGTCATTTGACCAGTCTGCTGTTCTTTGCACTCTTTCTATAAGCAGTAGGTTTCATTGACCTTTAGCACATACATGCTCTCGCTAGAATTTAAATGAATGACTTAATTACCTTGATGGGAAGTAGTGGGGTCCAGGTAAGAAGTAAGGGTGATGAAACGAAAATCGAGGAGAAGCTCCAAAGAGAGTGGCTGGATGACCAATGGGAGGAGGTTGATAGAGATGTGAGTGAGGAATGGGAGGAGCCTGGGGAATTGGTGCACTTCTAGGACAAGTAGAAACACCTGAGTACTCCTCAGGGGGTTGACTATTAGAGACAGGAAATCGGGAGTGAGTGGTGCTGGCATTACTTGGGTTCCTGCTGGAGTTCTCAATGCAAACTGGGATAGGTCTCTTTACAGAAGAACTTGATCCGGAAGGTACATGATGAGCTTCTGTCTGTGCAGGTCCAGCAAAGCGCTGTGGTGGAATTACAGGGTGAAGGGGCAGATTTGGAGCTGGGACAGCCACTGGTGTGGTGCTTCCAACACTCGGCTGGAAAAGTGTAATTGGACCTGGATGTTGAATGGAAGGAGCTGGCAGCTGGATAGTAGAAGGGGCTTCACCTTTTGAAAACAGAAATGATTATTGATCAATCATGAATGGAAGGGTTCCAGTAAGAGCATTTTATAAGTACCACTTTAGCTAACTACACATAGAATAGAAAGTATCAGAGGGGTAGCCGTGTTAGTCTGGATCTGTAAAAAGCGGCAAAGAGTCCTGTGGCACCTTATAGACTAACAGAAGTATTGGAGCATAAGCTTTCGTGGGTGAATACCCACTTCATCAGACGCATGTGGTGGAAATTTCCAGAGGCAGGTATAAATATGCAGGCAAGAATCAGTCTGTTTCTCCTCCCTAGGTGTTCACACCTCAACTGCTAGAAGAGGGCCTCATCCTCCCTGATTGAACTAACCTCGTTATCTCTAGATTGATTCTTGCTTGCATATTTATATCTGCCTCTGGAAATTTCCACCACATGTGTCTGACGAAGTGGGTATTCACCCACGAAAGCTTATGCTCCAATACTTCTGTTAGTCTCTAAGGTGCCACAGTACTCTTTGTCACTTTTTATAGAATAGAAAGAAGACAGACACGCTAAGTTCCCGGGCGGATTCTGTATTGTCCTCCTCCATCTCCCAAACCAAAAACAGAGACAGCTCAACATTTCTTCTGTCCTTGGAAATCCCCTCCTCAGAAACCAAACACAGTTTTCTCACCTCTACTGAGTAACACACCCACCTTTGTCACACTGATATCCAAATCTGAATCTAATTAAGTGTATCAGCAAATTTAAGAAGGATGACATGTGGTTAACTCCAACGCTGCTTTATTGAAATGCTGCCATTACAGGGCTCTCTAACCCATCTCTCCAGAGCATCTTCAGCAAAACACCCCTATAATTCACAATCATATGCCACTTAGCAAGCCAGTATGGACCTGCAATGTATACATAAAGAATATATGCATACATTCTCAGCTGATGTAAACCTGCTTAGTTCTACTGTGGCCCTAAGAAACAGAATCAAGTGGGAATACCAAATTGCCCCAAAATTGTTATTTTTCATTTGTTTTGAAAAAGGACACACCCAGGCAGTGTTTGTTCACTTTGTCATAATTTACAGACATGTTTCTGTATCATTTTTATGATATTAAAGTTATCATTTAGAGTGTGCCTCTCCTACAGAACGATTCCAAAGCATTTTGGGGACATTTTCAAAAGTGCCTAAGTGACTTCAAAGCCTAAATCCCAAGTCACTGGAATGTAGGCACTTTGGAAAATTTTGTCCTTCACAACAATATATTCAGGAATCACTTCAACTACAACTAAAGTATAGCCACCTCTGGGATGAAACAGAGTAGGTATTCAAGGCAGCATAATAACACTATACAATAGTTTAGATGTGGGCACAATTTTGCACATGCACTTTTTTGTGCACACTTCTCTCATAACCAGGTTTTGGTGTGTACAGAAACTTGGATTTGTGTACTCAAACCGAATATGTGTTTGCAAATTAGAGAGACAAAGCGAACGAGGTAATTTTTTTATTGGACCAACTTCTGTTGGTGAGAGAGACAATCTTTTGAGCTTATACAGAGTTCTTGTTCAGGACATGAAGAGCCTGTGTAAGCGTGAAAGCTTGTCTCTCTCACCAACAGATGTTGGTCCAATAAAAACTATTACCTCACTCACCTTATGTCTCTAATATCCTGGGACCAACATGGCTACCACAGTTTGCAAATTAGCTAGTTAAATACATAATTATTTTCCAGTTGTGTATGCAAAGCTGAGTTGCTGTGCATGCAAAACTGTGGCTGTGAAAACACTGTACATCTAGAAAATTGTGTGCAGAGTTGCACCTGCAAGTTTAGATGCAGCTTTTAAAAATGCAGCCCTCACCTTATTAACATCTTTCCCTGTGACAATTTTTCTGACAAATTTCACCTTGTCCTCTTAAGCAGCTTTGCCACTGGATTGTTGCTTTAAACACTCTTATGCTGGTTTACGCTTGACCTTATACAGGATACAATTTTCTTATTATTATTGAATGAATTCACCAAAACTAATTGAACAAACTCACAGACAGGATGTCCAATACTGTTCTGTACATTGGGAATGACAACGGAGTAAGTGGGTGATCGGAAAGGATAAATTGTGGTTGGGTTTGTAGTGATGATGTTCTGAGAGGTGCCGGAAAATACAGTGGAGACAGTCAATGGGAAGCGCTTTCTTTTGCCGGGTCGTGGTTGGTAAACCCAGCCTGTGGGAGAGTAAATGAGAAAGCTTAAGGCAGATTTCATAGACATGTGGGCCAGTTTCTTGCACTGTAACAAGACATGAAAAACTACGACACCCACAATTCTGAAAAGTCTGTATGGATCCACAACAAGGGCAAATCCTCTTCCAGTTGAAGTTAACAGCAAAACTCCCTTTCACTTCAATAAAGTGGCAGACTGAGCACCCTATCAGAGAGTATGATGAAACTGGCACATTCTCTCATCCTTTTCATATTAACATACGTTATTATGTGGTTGGTGGAGGAGATACAGGATCAGAAAACCAGAGGGGCCAGTGTGGCACAGGTTAACACCACATTATGAAGGGAGGGTACAGGAGAAAATGGCAATGCATCTTGGACTTTATTTTGAAAAAATATGGTAATATTAAAAATATGGCTCCGGATTTATAATCTCACTGGCTCCCTAATTCTCAAATACACCTGTGCAAATTTCATTTACACCAGTGAGACTGTAGAGATGTAATAGTTAAGGAAGAATTTGACCCAATGGGAGCTGTGCATATATTACTGCAGGCAGAACTAGGTTTGCCTCTGATACATACACCAATCAAATAGTAAGAGACTTGTAAAGATGATGGTAGGTCATTTATACCAATTAGGTTTCATTAGACTTTTTGTCTCGGTTATGATGTTTAAAGGAGGCCTGAATGTTTGGGGGTGTTTAATATTATGTTTTGTCTTCTGTTTGTTTTTGACATAAGAAATTCAGATCTTGTCTACTCTGGAATACTCTGTGGCAGCCTGGAGAACAAGTAGGATTATGACATCACAGATATAAAGGACGTAGCACCTTATAGTTTAGTGATTTTTATTCAGTTTAAAAACTCTGGTTTTTTCACCTGTTTAAATTACTCAGGAGAAAAATGCTTTGTTAAAGATTCACTACCCTGCCCCCTTCAGCTAAAGGCTGAAAAAAGTCTCATTCCACATCTGAGATCGCCAACAAATCCTCCGGCCAAAACACAGAAAACCAGATTTGAGCCTTGATTCACCTCTGGATTACTTACAATAGTGTAATATAGACAGCCGAAAATTGGAGTAAGAAGGGGTGAATGAGACCCTTGGTATTCCTGCTATTTCTAAGCTAATATTAATAAATGTGTTTCCAATGAAAATGAGGATTTTTGTTCAGATTTAACATTTGTATTTGGCTTTAACATTCCCTTACAGCTTTGCAACCCAACATTTCCTACAGCTTTGCAGCATTATATTTGTGCATGGAAAACAGAAAGTGAAACTCACTAAAAATTGTTTATAAAGTGAAACTGACTAGTTTAATTTCTTTGCCCAATCTGAGTGAAAAGAAAAATATAAAGAAACAGAATAACCAATGAAAAGTAAATTAGATTTGAAAATCTTTGAATTTTAATAATCTAACTTGTAATTGGTGTTATAGATATAGATTTCTTTATTTTTAATTATATGGGTATTGGACGCTATTATTATTTACATTATTACTCCCAGACAGGAAACTGTTAGTCCACAGTTAAGGTTGAAAAAATTATTTAATCTATTTATAGGCATTTCTATGTCCTTGTCACCATAGTATCTGATAAAATTAATTTTTAGGAAAATGCCTAAAATGAATATTACAATTTAAGGAACAAATAACTCTAGAAGCACAGGGAATTCAAAGTTCAGAATACTGTGCTCCAAGAACCAAACATTAGGAGTTGGGGACCCTCCTCTTACCCACCTCCACACAGGGTTTTCTTCTTCCCATTTAGCGTACTGACCCTCATTCCCTATATGGCTTTTCCTTTCCCAATCCTACTGGACTAGATTCATTTGCCTATCACGTAGCTCTCTGCCTGCCATTTCCCCCACCCTGGGCATCTGTCTCAGTCCATGCAGAATACTGCACTAGGCCCTGAGCACTTTACAAAGTCAACATTTTGGGGTAATGCAAACTTTTAAAACATGCAGGTGTAAGGAAGTATATGCATTTTTTACCAGGAAATTCCTCTCTGTGCTTTTCTTTAATCTTTTGAGCTTCATCATAATAGGGCTTCTTTTGCTCTTCAGTGAGTTTGTTCCACTCTAATCCAAGCTGGACACTGATTTCTGCATTATTGGCAGCTGGGTTAGCTTTGGCTAGTGCCGGCCGGTGAATTCTTGCCCACACCATAAATGCATTCATTGGACGTTTTACATGGCCATTTCTGTCTTTGCTAAATGGGGTATCTGGTATCCCTACATAACAAAAATCAGGAAAGAATATCATTAGGCAGACAGCACATGCAATGTTGCCGTAAATCATATTTAAAGAAAGAATCCAGCTAAACCCAAACAAAAGAAACACCCGGATTCTGGAACCCACAAGCCTCCATACATATTTGGAGAATTGCCCCTGGAAAAAACATTTAAATGTCATCAACTAAGAGAATACTGGAGTAATGACTAGCCACAAGTGAAATACTCCATAAAGACTAATTTAAATATTTGACATTACAGTATCTGCTATTGTGGCATAAAGCAACAGAGTCCTGTGGCACCTTTAAGACTAACAGATGTATTGGAGCATAAGCTTTCGTGGGTGAATACCCACTTCGTCAGACGCATATAATGGATGTATTGTGGCAGAGTCTCTCTCTCTCCTTTCATACAGATCACAGCTAATTTCACCATAATAAAAAAAATGGTAGGGGGTTTGTTTTCATTTGACTAATTATTGTGTTATGTAATGCATATGTTTATAAAGGCACCACAGTATCAGTGCAACAGTAATGCACCTAAACCCTGACCTTGCAGGGACCACATTCAGTGGTAATATGGTATTTCAGTTCCATAGCCATTCAATTCTTGGCTTCTCTGCTAAGTCTGCCAGATGGTGCTAGTTTTTTGTGAGATGTGGATACCTTTGCTGGAAGGACTGATGAATCTACTAAATGCTCATCAGATGCAATCAACTTCCAATCACAATAAGGCTGGATTTGAGCTGATGACCTAAAGGTGGAAGGTTTCCACTCCACTACTAATTCACTTAGCAAGCAGTCCCTCTATGAAAGGTATTTCTAAATGCACCTATTACCTAAACCCTGCATTATCAATGCAAAGACAAGGGTCTATTAGCCATTAGGACAGAAATTAATTTTAAAGGTCAAAATTGAGCTCCTAAATCCACTCTTAAAGATTAAGCCCTGCATTTTCAAAATCGGGCCGGTGCCTAAACAAGGACTTTAAAGACTGCTTTTGGCTCCTAGTCTTGAAAATCTTAGGCTTTATAATTAAGAATCAGACACCTGCTACGGGGGGCTAAAGTCAGAACTGGAGTAAGCAGCTGCACAGACGTCAACAGAGCTGAACCCTCTAAAACCCAGGTTGAATGTGACCCTGTATGTTTACACTCTCAGTGCAGGTGGAAATGATATGGATAGAGTTTACATAGAAAGGCCAGTACTTCAATAGCATTTCCACTTGTGTTTCCTAAGTGCTAGAATTCCAACTATGGGGCAACACGTGTTGAAGCCTTGGACATTCCGATGCCACTGCCATAGAATAATACCTGCATCAGAGGGCAGCACTGTGAGGGGCACATCCTTAGTTTCAATTTTGACTGAAGGCTCCAGTAAGGATTGCATTTTAAGGGGCACTTGGGTCAGGGGCACTTTAGTCACTCGGATCAGCTCAGAAGGTGGAGGTCCCTGAAACTGGATCCTGGTCCCAGAGGGTACTGGATGGAGTGTCAATGGGATCTTCAGGTCTTGAGGATGCTGTGTTCCAAACCCACCAGGCGGCTGAGCCGCGGGGGCATCTTTGCTGGCATGAGTCGGGCCGCTGAAGGATCCAGCTGGCTTGGACGACACAACTTCTTCCCTCCCCTTGCAGTCCTCACTGGCTGCCTCTGCCTGCTCTGCCTTGATGGCTCCTTCTTTCCCAGTCCCCGAGGCCACGCTGTCCCCCCCAGTCTCTTTCACCATCACCTCTTTCTGGCTCTCCTCTGCGTTCCCCCCTTTTTGATCCCCTCCTCTCCTGACGGCGCCGCTGGCCGCGAGCTGGGTCCCCTCTTTCCCTGCCCGTCGGGCTGCGGCGGCCTTGAGCTCGCCCCTCTTTCTCTTGCTGCAGCCGCTGCACCCCAGCTGGCCCTCTTGCTCCTGCTCCGCTGCTTTTCCCTGCAGCGCCCGGGGGGGCTCACTCCCCCCCTGCTGCTCCCCAGGTCCCAGCGCAGCCGTGGGGGGCAGCAGCTGCTTGCGGGGGGAACTTTGCCCATTCAGGGCCTGCAGCCCCGTGCTGGGGGCGCCCTGCCCGGGGAGGGGGGACAGGAGCTGAGGGAGGGGCCCCGGCCTGGGGGGGAGGAGCAGGAGGTGCGGCTCCCTGCCCCCCTGCCTGGTGAGGGGGTGCAGAAGGAGGTGCTCCAAGCGGGGTGCCTCCTGCCCGGCTAGGGGGTGCGGTCGCCGGGGGGGCCCCTCCTGCGGCCCCCCCTCCATGGCGCAGGCGGGGCCCGGCGGGAGGGGGATTGTCGGGGATTGTGAGCTCAGCCGCCTCCCTCTGTCGCCGTCCGTTTGTTTCCTGCGGTTGCTTCGCAAACGTTCTCAGCGCCCCCGCCCCGCCCCGCGGCACGCGCTGCCCTCCGCGCCTCGCGCCCCGCCCGGGGCCGCCGCAAATGGCAACGGCGGGGCGCCACGTGCCTCCCGCGGGGCCTGCGGTTGCCATGGAGACGCGCCACAATGGCGTTCCCACGGCGACCCCGGGAGGAACGCTTGGCGGCTCGCCGCGCCCGCAGCCCGGCGCGAGGCAGAGCCCCGCCACCGGTCGTGCGTGGGACGCCCCACGGCGAAGAGTTGCTCCGAGCCGCGGCGCGCCCTAGCCCTCCGTGGCATTTTACTTAATGAGCGTCTCTCCGGACGCGTTTCGCGGGCGCACCCAGGCTGGCGGGCTCTCTGCCGGGCACGCCCTGAAAGACACGCGGGACCCGGACCCACGCCCGTTGCACGTGCTGCGGTTGCAGAGGGGTGGTGCTAGCCGATCCCCTGGCCCTGTTGTCCCCACAGCAGAGGGGGCAGAGGCCTTGTACATGGAGCCTGGCCAGGCCCAGCCTAGTGGAGTCAGGGCTGCCGCTGGCCCGACGGCTCTGTTCCTGGGGCGGCTAATCCACCCCCCTGCGCAGAGCCCTGTGCCAGCGGCAAGGACCACAAGCTCCCCCTCTTCTCGAGCTAGCAGCAGTCCTCCAACGAAGCATCCCACCATAGAGGTGGCCTAGCCAGTGGCTAGAAGGGATCGCTTCCGGTGGGGGTGCGTGTGTAGCGGGACTGTTTCCGGTTCAGCGCATGCGGCTGCGGGAAGCTGCCCGGGCTATTGCTGCTGCTGCCGCGCTTGGGCCTGGGACCAGGGCGCGGCTGAGCGGCGGCCGGGCCCCCATGGCGAAGAGCAAGTTCGAGTACGTGCGGGACTTCGAGGCGGACGACACGTGCCTGCCCAACTGCTGGGTGGTCACCCGGCTGGACGGCCGCAACTTCCACCGGTGCGAGGGGCGGGGCACTTCCGGCAGGGGTGGGGCCGCCGGCAGCCAATGGCGGGGCCGCG